CCCCAAAACCCCAAAACCCCAAAACCCCAAAACCCCAAAACCCCAATTCGATATATTTTTGATAAAATTTACAGATAAATGGAGTCTTTAACACCGACTGAGCAGCCACATGGGAGCAAGCCCAAGGATGGTCTTGGCCTGTTCATTGCCATACACATTGGAGTTGGCAAATATTCAATGGTACTTTTTCAGTAATTTTAGAAATAAGGAGAATATAAAACAGAGAAAGAAGGTCATTATCCAAGCATTAAAGGCAGTTAGCCAGGAATGCAAGCACACTAAAGTAAAACTTCTTGGCTCTAAAAAGCACTTTAGGAATCAGAGGTGAATAAATGCTTATTTTGCAACGAACTTTGGCAAGATTCAAATGTTCCAATATTGGAAACTATCAAAATAATACAATCTCTTGAGAACTCTAATAAGGTCAATGCTGGTAGAGGTAAACACTTGGTCCAATAGTATAGGCTCATTTCTAAATGAGAAAGGAGAAATCGAGACTGAATCTCTAATAGCTACTACCGAACCAAGTCTGGCTCTCAGTGCTTTTTGTAGCTCACAATATCTCTTCCCAGCACATCTGCTACATTTTGAAGTGAGATTTTATGGTAACAAATTTAGGAAATCTTGAAAGATGACCTCTATCCTGCATTTTTAAGTAAACGTAAGTTTGTGAAATCTCGAATAACCTTCTGTCTAAACAAATTTCAGCCAGATTTGAGGGAGGAGTTCCTTTCCTAATTCCCTCACCAGACAAGAAAAGGAAGAAATAAATGGAAAATGAAAGAAGAAATACTGAAGGATTCAAAAACGCCTTACGCACAAGTTTTAGAGTTGAGTGATACTGTTGGTGTATGTACCATAAATTACCGAGGTAAATACCACCATGAATTTTAGGCAATGGAGCTGTCGCCTCTAGTTCTGGAGGCCCATGGTGCCATAAGGAGAGACGTATTGGAATGGTCTCAAGTTTTGGATCAGGAAGTTATGTAGAGACTAGCATTCTTCGTAAGTCAACCATTCTCTGTAGTCTCACTTTTTAATATAGAGTTTCCTGATACTGAGGATAAACGCAGTTGCAAGCTGACAATTGCCCTGACAATCTCAGGTGACGGGAATGAAATCCTGAGGAGAGCAGTTGCGATAAAGATTTATCACTCCTATCTTGGGTGTTTCAAGATCCTCATGCAGACCAAACCTTTGGTTGATTTGCTCAATGATAAAACTGTGAGTTGCCAGAGTATTATGGAGCAATCTAAAACCCCAACGTGAAAGATATTCAATGGTACTTTTCATTCTAAAATTTAGATGAAATTAAAGTCTTAGTAGAAGAGCTCTCTTTTGGCTGAATTATGACAGTCTCACTAAAATTAGATCAGGAGGATGAGAAGGAAGGAGATTGCAATGTTGGGTATGAACTCACAGTTATTCATACAACAGTTACTCCTAATTTTGTATATGGGTATAAATTCCCAAGTGATACTAAGCCCAAGATCATGACTAATTCCATGAGTAAAGGGGGTGATGTTAAGATCAAAACAATTTATCCAAAATAAGCTAATGTCTAGTACCTGATTAAGAGGCAAAATAAGGATTTATCATAAATATTCTACCTTCAATTTCACTTTTATCCAAATTTGCTTCAGAAATTAAGGGTGAAAATTGACATGTTTTGTGTGATCTGCTCACTTTTCAATTCGGACTTAAGCTCTAGGCTGAACCTCATTATTGCCATGAACTCTGTGAGGGCTTTCTAGTCAGGTATCATGCATTCGCAGGCACATAGGGAAATATTTTTGCAAAAAGTTCAATAGAATTAATACTTAAGCATTTTGTCAATGAGCCTAGTTTATTTTATTGTATTCTCAATTTAGCTTAACTAAAGAGGGGTTTTGGGGTTTTGGGGTTTTGGGGG